AAGACAACGGGAACATCATCATTACAAAGGCTGAGCCTGGGGAACAATCAGCTTACAGCTTGTGAAAACGCCAACATATGGGAGTTTCTGAGTTTGGTCTCTCTGTTGCAAACCGGTGCGCACGTGATTTTTCCAGCTTCCCATTATAAAACCACGACTTGTCTCACGTTCAGAAAAGTATCATAAATCGTAGACTGGCTTCGGTGTGGCTGAAAACGGAAAGGTTGTTAGAATCGCTAAGATAGGAATGAACACCTCGAAGCTCCTCCCTGTTCAGCCAGTCAGCTGTTTTGACACCCCCCCCCCCCCCCCCCCCCCCCAATATAGGGATAGGGCAACCTCTGAAACAACATCCCATGTATAATATAATATAATATATGCAGTACAAAAAAGGACAGAAATACACTATGTATGCTGGTTACACTTGAGTATTTCTACAGTATGTATATGCTACAACTTCAAGTTTACTTTTCATATAACTTGACTTTCAGATGGAAATATTACATTCAAATACAGTACAAAGTGTACAAAGACGCATGAGCTCTGATATCTCTACCATGACCGCGTCTTGTACAGCTGTTTTATAAAATTGCTCGTTTTTCTTTCTCTCTTTCTTTTTTCCCTTTTCTATTTCAAGTAATTAACACACATAAAACCTCGGGTACGGCAGTATTATTCCATCACAGAAGTATTGAAAGCTGCAGCGAACTAAGCAAACTATATATACAAACTCTATTTAAAGTGTAATCTCTTCAACGCATGCGTGTAATTTTCAAAATAAAATGCACCGGAACAGACTAGAATGTGCCAAACTTTTCTAGAAAGAGGGCTTGCCACGTCTGAAAGCACTTCCGGTGCGTATATTTTTCTCAAACATTAGCTCTAGCGGAAATATTTCCGTGATGCAGGGTAATGTTCTAATGCAAACGGTTAAGACTGTCGTTAATTTTTCCCCGAGTGTGGAATAATTCCGATTTTCGAAATAAGAAAGAAAATGAATTTTGACTTGTCGTACAAAGGAAGTTGCTCGCATTTACGTGTCTACTGACAATAACAGACATGGCAAGAGGAATCTGCGGGCTCAGTGAACTAGTTAAGTAACTTAAGGGCGAGAGATGATTAAGGTTAACGAAGCAACAACGACTTATTGTGTAAGTATCGTTTGCTTTAATTTAGTCATCTTTAGAGATTCACGAGTTAGCTTGCTCTTACGAAAAGTGAGCTTGTTAAGCTAGCAAACTATTAGACACATTACTGTCTTGATCGACATGTTTCACTTATTGTCTAGCTAACGTGCAGATTGTCCGTGAGTTGTCCACGCCATGGCGAGCTTGTCTAATTGTTAAGAAATCACCAGTGTTTGCTGGATTGAACGGTCGTGTGTCCAGCATGAGTGCGTCAGCTGGGGACAGAGAGCTGCTAGGGACCCCCCTGGATAATACAAAGGAGGAAATCAGTGGGCCTTCTTGCATAGGAGACAGTGGCAAACAAGTAAGTAAGCACACTGAACAGATAAGAAGGGGACACTGTCCTGCTGGCTCTGGGTGTAAAAACGCTCTATTTACTATCTGAACTGACAGCCACACTTATTTTTTCTATGCACTAGTAAACTTTAAATCGATTTATAAAGTCTGTAGTCACATACATTAGTCATGACAGCTATTTATCAGACAAAGCTTCATGTAGGAGCATGATCGGATTAACCTCCTGTGTCATTGGGGCAGAAAGGTGTTGTTGGGCCCCTATTGACCCCCATTATACTGTCCATGACAGTATTATTTCTCCAGACACCCAGCAACCAAGCAGTACTCTAGGGCTGAGATGATTGGCTGACTACTCTATTGATAAAAATGGGAAACCATTAAATCCTACCCCCAATCAGTGTTCTCAGCTCATCCTCAATAACTTATAACACTTTATTTTGTAGGACTTGGCTGTATGCACAGGCAGCAGTGAAATAAAGAGCTGTGCCGTGGTCAAGTACTCTGCTGCCCCACCTCCTACCAGCTATGCCCTGCTGCAGGAGAAGACAGACCTGAAGCTGCCACCAGCCAACTGGCTGAGAGAGAACCCACAGCTGGGCAGCGCTGGCACCACTATATTAGGGTCCAGCAGCAAGAGCAAGCCTTTTTCCAGGTATAATGTCATGAGAAATCCTATTACTAAAACTGATCTTTATTGCTCTAGTGTGAAACTGTGTTGATCTCTGTAAGAAAGTTAGTTTTTGCATAACAAAGGAAGTACTGTCTACACGACCGCAGTTGAGGGATGTCTATATAACCAGTGTGTCACCCACAGTGGTATTGCAAAACTCTCTCTGACAATATTATATGAATTTAACATATTATACATAATGTGTGTGCATTCAAGCTTGAGTGGGATTTACAAAGGTTTTTAATTATGCTCGCATTTAGTTTTTTTAACCTGTGTGTTGTGGTGATTATTGCTGCTGCCTCACAGCAAGAAGGTTCCGGGTTCAGGTGGTGCCTTTCTGTGCAGAGTTTGCATGTTATCTCCGAGTACTCCGGCTTCCTCCCACAGTCCAAAGACATGCAACTTAGGTTGAGTGGTGATTCAGGAATAAGTGGTATAGATAATGGATGGATGGTATTGGAGGTTGAAATATTATATGTATTGTTTTCAAAATCTTTGAATTGATTAAGTTCCCTTTCTTCTTTTCTAGTTTTGGGATGGCCTATGACTTCATTGATTGCATTGGGGATGATGTTGATGTGGTATCAGACTCAGAGGTTTGTGGTGCTGTTGCAACACTGACATGTTTTTCTTTGTTTCTGTAACATGTACATACAGCTGATAACGTTTTCTCTTACATTCAGAACATCAAAAAGCTGCTGAAAATTCCCTACAGTAAGTCTCATGTCAGTATGGCTGTTCACCGCGTGGGGAGGACCCTGCTTCTGGATGAGTTGGACATTCAAGAGCTCTTCAGGAGGTCTTCTCAGGTACATGTTTATGTTTACAAATCAAGTCAAATCCCTATCTCCTTAATAGGATTTTGCACCATCACTTGCTCATTTTTTCCATGAGAGTAACTTCTATATTTGAGGTTTAAATGATTGTAGTCTCCCTGCTCTGTGTGTGTTGTAGACAGGTGATTGGATGTGGCTAAAAGAGTTTTATCAGCGGCTAATAGATCAGAAGTGGCAGAGGAAAAAGAAGAGTAAAGAGCACTGGTACCAGAAGGCAATCCTGTCAAAGTTTCTCTACTACAGGTGAGTAGTAGAGTAACTTAGCATTCATTGAATTATGTGGAAAAAATGGTTTACCATTGGAGTTAGGTTACACTTTATCGTAAGGTGCGTCCTTCTTAGCCTCCATCTCTCACCAGTTTGGCTCGATCTCTGTGTTTCCTGCAGTATAAATGGTGATGGAGCTGCAGAGCCTGTACCAGACAACCTGAATGAAGGGGAGAAGGAGAATGGGGCAGAAGAGTTCAGTTCTTCATGGCCTACCACCTTCACCAGTGCACCATCTGACATAGAAGAGTCAGACTCTCCAACGCAGGTACAGAAGGACCAAAAATATTAATACAATGTCAAAGGAAATCTCTGAAAAATAATAATGAAATGTCTGAAACGTTCGTGTCTTGGCTATTGCACTCACCATAGCCATTCGCAAATTTCCATACTTAGTGAGATGAAATGTGTTAAATAAGTAATTTTACATTAGACTGGCTCTGGGTTGATTGCAGAGTTTGTGTGGGAGTTTTGGTCTGCAGTGCTAGGACTGACAGTATTGCTGTAATTAAATGTGCAGGAAAGTGTTTCTGTGGACAGCAAGTTTGCCCTTGGCCAGGTGACATCCGTGCCCAAAGAGCAAAACCTCCCTACACTCTTTGACGAAGGCGAGAACAGTCAGGTAAAACAATTTTGCACTATTCCTTAATGGTATGCTACTACAGTTGGTAGCTTACGTCTGATTTATACTCCTATACACTTGGATGTCCTTTATTTGACAGGGCTTAAGAAACGACTTTGTGCGAAACATCATGTGGGCGTTTGAGGATATCCACATGTTGGTTGGGTCCAACATGCCTATTTTTGGAGGTGGTCGCTATCCTGCTGTCAGTCTGAGACTCAGGTTGGAATTTGAATTTGTTTGCTCCCTATATTGCTATATTACAAATGGTAAAACCTGTTGTGTGCTGATCAGTTTTTACTTCAGTTATTTAATTCCTGGAGGTGAACTGAATTGATCTCTTAATCTCACAGCAAAAATCTAACTTTCCCGTTTTGTTTTTCAGGGACAATAATAAACCAATCAACATTCTGACAGGTATCGACTACTGGCTTGACAACCTGATGTGCAATGTCCCAGAACTTGTCATGTGTTTTCATGTCAATGGCATTGTTCAGGTAAGTTACTGCTATTTGAATTGAGCTTTATTATTATGTTTGATTGCCAAAGTTCATTTTGGCAGCAGAATATAAGATGTATTTTCTAAAGTATGCATTTGTAATGGCAGGATAATTGTTTTCAACATCACTCATGTTTAGCGGTTATGTTGAAAATGTGATAATGCTTTTCTTAATTTTTCACCTTTATGGTTTTCCCCACAGAAATATGAGATGATAAAAACAGAAGACATCCCTCATCTGGAGAACTCAACTTTCTCCACAAGGGTGGTGAAAGATATTGCCCAGAATATTCTCTCTTTCCTCAAGTCCAACTGCACCAAAGAGGGTCACACCTACTGGCTTTTCAAAGGTGGGAGATGAGTAAACAAACTCTTAATTCTTTAAGTCTGCTCTTGCTGTGCTGTACGCTTGTGGATCTTTATTTTTTTCTTAACTCTATAGCTAGTGGGAGTGATATTGTGAAGCTTTATGATCTCACAACTCTGTGTGAGGAGGCTGAAGAGGAGAAATATCAGAATCCCTTCACTCTTCCTGTAGCTGTGCTACTGTACAAGTAAGTATCTGTTAAAGACTCAAGGTGGGAGCATGTATGAAATGTAGAATTCCTGCAGTTTTAAAAACTGGTAAAATCAGTATCAGACATGACTGTAATGAGTTGTTCTTTGCTGTGGCACAGAGTAGCCTGCAACTTGAAAGCGAGGCTAAACAGAAAGCACTATGGCACAATCAGAACCCTTCTCTTAAACTGTGTCAAACTTCTGGATCAGGAGAGGCATCCCCAGGTAAGAAGAGATTGTTATAATTAATTAGAGATAGGAAAGACTTGGAGTAAGAGGATGATGTGCAACAAAAGTCCTGACTGTGATGTAAACTCAGATTCTGCAAGAGTTAGTTGCTAGATAAAATGATAAATGGGTAAAAATTTGCATGGACAATCCTTTAACCAAAATAGTCCTCTGATTCTTTTAGTTTTTGGTGTTGACATTGTGTTAAAGTTAAATGTTTGCCAATAGTTATAAATGCTTTTTTTTCTTTTAAAATATTATTTTAAAAACTATATTTAGACCAAATAAAAAGTGAAACTACTTGGCTAAATTGGAGCACACCATAGTTTAGATTTGGCTGAACTTGACTCCCGGTCCGACCTCCTCCGTCTCCTCTCTGTTCAGATCATCGCCTCAGCCCACTACATGCTGTCGGAACTGTTCCAGCTCGGTGAGCTTTCTGACGAAGATGGAGCTGAGTCACTCCGGGCTGGTGGCTCAGAGGACAGCTACAGCGATGAAGACAGGGAGGATGATGATGATGAGGAGGATCTGACAGAGGACAGCGATGACAATGTCACCTACACTAACTGCTCCAGCCCACAAGACGACAGTAAAGCTGTGGCTGTGATCCGCTCTGTAGGGGAGCTGTCGGTCCCAGAGAAGTACAAATCCACCCACCCGATCAGAGTGAGTGCCTCTCTAAATGTTTTTCCTGCTTTCTCCTGAGGCAAAGTGAGAGACAGAGTGGAGTATACAGATAATGTTATATTAAAAAAGCCTGTTTGTTAATCTCCACAGCCAAGTTCTGCTTTTCCTGTTTCTCAAGACAAAGAGGAGAGATGCAGACACGTCCTGAGCTACGTACTAAAAGTGAGTTTCTGTATAGTGTTTATTTAGTGTACATATAATAAAAAATGTGATGGGTCCCAAGAAATGTCATCGGCTGCATAAATAAATGGTATATTTCACTACACAGGGGCTGAAGGCAGTGGATGGCAGCATTAAGAAGGAGAGTGATCTCCCAGCTGCAGACCCTAACACACCCATTCCTCTCAAATATGAGGATGGAAATGCAATTGGAGCCTGTGCCGCTGAGAAAGGCATCTCTCTTCTTCTTGACAGAGGTTAGTCTACACCTTATTTCAAATATAACTTATAAAACCATGTAATAAAACAAGCCAGATGTAAGCATTATGCATGTACGGTGATTCTGTTAAGTTGCAAGTGTTTTTCTTATAAAGTTCACACATTGTTACTGGATGACTCAACTACAGGACATTTTAGAACCTTGTGTGTATCTTTCTCCTGGTCTTACAACGTGTGTGTGTGTGTGTGTGTGTGTGTGTCACTAGTGGGGCCATTGCAGGAAGAGCAGAACCACCCAACACGCTCAGGGATGATCCCTGGCTCGTGGCAGCACCGTATGAAGCTGCAGCTTTTCCTCAAAGCCTCCAAGGCCTACTACGTCCTGTCTGATGCAGCCACTAACTTGCTGAAGTACGGACGAGCCTTGCGCTACATCAAGCTGTCTCTGCAGTGCTATGGTAAGGCTGTGTAACTAACCTAAAACGGTGAAATATGTAGTTGAGGTAGGTCATTTTCAGTATTGTCCCATTTATTTTTTTTAAGCATCAATCATAATTACAAACAGGTACGTTGTCTTGTGAAGAAATATAGTAAGTCAGCATTTCTTTTTATTTCACCTTCCCCGTTTCATCTGTTTTGTCCAGATGCCTATTGCTCAGTGAGCGGTTTACTGCACCCACATGTGCTGCAGTTTCACAGCCAGTCTCTCTCTCTGTGTGGGGACATCCAGCTGATGTTGGCCCAGAATGCCAGCAACAGAGCAGCTTACCTGGAGGAATACAGCTACCAGACCAAAGAGGACCAGGAAATCCTGCATAGCCTGCACAGAGAGAGCAGCTGCCAGGGTCAGTCAACTAAAGACAGACAGTCGGACAGATCTTAAACCACACAATGGCTGATTTGATCAATTATTGATTATTCCATTTGTCAGTCTATTTTCCCTTTACCTCCTAGCCTTCAACATGATAACGGACCTGGCCATGGACCCAGAGTACCAGCTGTTTGTTAGCAGTAAATGCTACGAGGCAGCGTATGAACTGCTAATCTCTGAGGCTTTGAAAGATCATGCATCAGATCAGCTGGCTCCGGTGCTCAAAAGGCTGGGAAACATTCGCAACGAGATGGGAGTCTACTACATGAACCAGGCTGCGGCCATGCAGACTGAGAAAGAAGGTATGTTGGATAACAGCTATAGTAACCAATATAATTCACCACAGTGATAACTTCTTTTAATTGGAGATGCAGAAATTGTGTAGTCTGTATAATTTGCAGCGTTAAAAGGCTAGTGAAATGAAGCAATTTCTGCATTTGGATCAGTAAAAATGTGAACTCAAAATGGTATAAAAATTGATTGTGCCACCAATTTGTTTTGTAGTTCTTACCTGCCCTTTTGTCCATGCCACTGTGTCTAACTGGCCTTTTCCTTCTCCTTCTCCAGTAAAGAAGGTGGTGTCCGCAGCAGAGCAGGAGTTGTGGAAAAAGAGTTTCTCCTTCTTTGAGAATGGCATGGTGGACTTTGAAGCCATTGGAGACAGCACCAACACAGCCTTGCTGCTGTGTAATACTGGCCGGCTGATGAGAATCTGTGCTCAGGCCCACTCTGACATCTCTGCCGACCAGAGCAGAGGAGAGTTCTCACCTGAAGAGGCCCTCTACTACAACAAGGTACCAAGTCAGACCATTTGTCTTTTTGTCTATCCTTCTGTACTGTGAGCTTAATTAATACAACTTTTCATCTAACCTATGGCCCAGGCCACAGATTACTACTTGCGGGCTATGAAGTCACTGGCAAGCCGAGAGAACCACCCAGCTGTGTGGGACAGTGTAAACTGGGAGCTGTCCACTACCTATTTCACCCTGGCTACACTTCTGCAGGACTACGCCCCGCTGTCCAGAAAGGCCCAGGAGCAGGTGGGTTTGAGCTCTTTTTTTGTTTCACAAAAGGACAAACTAGTATTAAACTAAGTGAAACTTAACTCTTCCACAAAAATGACTCCCAAATTGAGAAAATCTCTAGTTCCCTGATGATCAAACTATATATCACCCATTCCTGCATGTGTTTTCCCAGATTGAGCGGGAAGTGACTGATGCTATGATGAAGTCTCTGAAGTATTGTGACCTGCAGACGGAGTCGGCTCGTCAGCCGCTCTACCAGTACAGGGCTGCCACCATCCACCACCGTCTAGCTTCTATGTACCACAGCTGCTTTCGCAACCAGGTGGGAGATCTTCTAGATTCTAGCTGTCTTTGTATTAATAATCCACGTCAGCTCTCCCTTTCAGCATAGATGGTTTTGTTTATGCTAAAAGAAAAATGTCTTATTTCTTGCAAGAAGATAGTAATATACACTAACTAGAACAGAATCACTGGTGATGGGATGTCTGTATTTTATACTTTACAGCAGTATAATAAATTGAAGGATGTCTGTGTTTCTGGCTCTAATTGTGTGACAGGTGGGGGATGAACACTTGAGGAAGCAGCATCGGAGCCTGGCAGAGCTTCACTACAGCAAGGCTGTTGGTTTATTTCTCATCCTCAAAGATGCACCCTGTGAGCTGCTCCGCACGCTTCTGGAGAGGGTTGCCTTTGCGGAGTTTACAATGGCAGGTGAGTAAGTGTTCGCCATGATGGATGATGTCATTATTTTTCAGTAATGTTGGCTTTGTCAAAAGAGAAGGATTTAGTTGGGAAGCATAATAGTATTTGTCTCCAGCCTCTTACAGTACCGTTTCATATTGTGTTTCCACAGGTCAGAGCAGCAGTGGGGCTAAGCTGAAGAGCCTGACCGGAGCTCTAGAGATCATGACTGACACTCGCTATGCCTTCCAGCTGATTCTTAAAGAGCTGCAGGAGGAGCAGATAGAGGTAAGTTTCAAAGAAGCAGATGGTAATGCGCTCTCATATTTACTCATCTTTGCAAAGTTTTGTTCAGTTGTCTTTTCTTGATCACATACTACAAACTTACACTCTCACTTTCCTCTAATCTTTTCCTACATCCTGTAGTTGAGTGAACCAGAGCCTGCTGAATCAGCAGAGTCTACTAACATGGCCTCTGGCCCCACATTGGGACTGAACCTCCAGGAAGTGATGAAGTTAACTGGCGTGTTTGAGCCAAGTTTCTCCTTCCTGCTGCTCCAACTCATCAAACTGATGACGACAATGAAAAGGAAACCAAGGTAAGCAAGCATATTTTATGTTGAGCTGCATATTTGTTTCATATACTTTACACTAGAGATGTCCCGATTCAACACAAAGCATCTATCTGCACCAGTCAGGGACATTTCACAGGATCGGTATCAGTCAGAATAAAGCCGATCCAATTCCAATCCTCATTTAGAACTTTAGTCCCATATGAACCGACTCAGTGCGTTTTTGAGATGCGCGTCACAACTGATAAGATGCTATATTAATCCAGCTGTCTACACTGCACGCCTGTTGGCTGGCATAGTTACCACTCACGCTTTGCATGTGTATTCACGGCCTGAAGCCGATTTTTTGCTTTAGGTCTATTTTTTTTGGAGCTACACACATAAAATGTTTCACTGAATCCACCAAAACATTGACGGCTCACTAGTTCCAACGAGAACTCCACCAAAATAGAGAAATGCAAAAACAATTGAAACATACGACCTGCCATCTGTTACATCAACCCTACTCGATATGCAGTTCCTTTTAAAGTGTGTGTAGTTTTTAATTTGCTGTTTTACCACAGGTACATGTAAGTACACATACATGCCAAGTGTTGCCAGTAATTCCTTCTTTGTCTGTTATTTGTTGGAGTTCAGGCTCAGAGTTTTCCCTTTTCCTAAAGTGTTTCTGTAGGCTCCTGTGTTTTTGTGCATCAAGTGCTTCTTGTGCACGAGTGAACACATTCCCAGTATACACAGATTAACTCCAGTTTGACAGATGTTTAATGAACATTTTACTGAGTGTAGGTAAATACAGGCTAAATATTGGATCGGTATAGGGGCCAAAAGAACTGGATCGGGACATCCCTACTTTAAACTTTCATTATGCGCAATCCTGACATTTGTGTTTTATTACAGCAAAAAGGATGAGGACCTGTTGAAAACCTACAGGAATGTGTATTCCAAGCTGCTGCGAGCTGAGAAAAATGCGGCTCTTGTCAGCCGAGTCGAGCTCTACGTAGAGCTACTACAGCAGCTGGCCTCGCAAACAGCAAGTGAGGATACTGGTACGCGTTTGTGAAAAACACAAAACGTAAGAACAAGGCCGCTGAAGACTTTGACTCTGCTCTCTGCATCTCATTGGACATCCAAGGTACATTCTGGAGACCTGTCAACATGTCTCCTCAAACACACTGCAATAGAAAATAATGATTAATAGACACTATTATGAACAGGCACATCTGAAATACAGTTTCAAAGCTAATTCACCTCTTGCGCCTTGGAATTTAATTTTTTTGTAACATTTGCATCAAAGGTTTTGAATTGTACATTTTTGTGAAAAGAGTTGTAAAATCAGAAGGCTATTTTTTCTAAATGCTGAAACATGTAACACTCCCCTGTGTAGAATTTGTTGGTGACTATACCAAATGTCCTCTGGATTGTCTAAAAGTCACATAACTTCTGCACATGGAGGCTTTAAAAGAGATAAATCATTGATTGCCATGAATAAAAACTGACTGAAATACTGTATTGACAGGTTGAAACAAGCTCAAACATTCTATTGACTTTCAGAAACAATAGTGTGCAATAGTTTGGCAATATTCAATGCAAACTCTGACTTTGTCTTCATTGCTGTTTGTATAAATGTGAATTTATATCAGCATTGTTTGCGATGACATGAAAATAAAAGGTCATAAAATTTTTATGCTGTACAGTACATGTTCCATCCCTCATCTTTAATGTTTCTCACTAAAGCATCACTAGATGATAATGCACCCTTGGGCTACTAGAACACATCTGATTAACTTTTAGTAGAGGTATTTTAATCAGATCTTTGGATAACAAATATCTGTCTCTACTGGGCTATTATTTTAGTTTATTTATCCTGGCACTAAAACATGATCTCGTATAGTAACATGTTCTCAGCTTTTTTGCCTTGACAAAGACAATTCAGAGTAGAAAATTTTAAGTGGATTTGGCAACACTGTACCCAGTGGGTTGGTCCTTGCTGCACCATTCAGCCTGGGTCACTGAAGAGGGTACGTGATGTTTTTAATACAGTGTCAGTGAACTGGGTCACCCTACAGTTACTGAACTGTGTCTACACCAGATGGAGCTGCAGGCGGATCGAAACTGTCCCTGCACCTCATCAATCAGGCCGGCCCCTCGGCGCTGTGGGTGACTGACTGTTGGACAGTTACTGAAGGTGACTGATGCGTAAGGACAAGCAGGCTGTGGAGCCTCAGGCACACTGCAAATTTTAGTGGGAAAATTATTCTTAGCCTTTTAGCCATAATTTTTTTTCCGGTTATATAAGTAGACACTGAAAATTCATGTAAAAGCATCAAATATATGATCTAGAACTTAATATTGTGCCAAAATGAGGGGAGAGGGGCCAGAAAACTGGTAACTCCTAAAAAAAAAAAAAAAAAAAAACTAAATTAGTGCATAATTTAGTGCAGCAAGTCCTACTGGTAATTTCCTCACCTCCATGGGGAACAGTGGGTCAGTTGGTCACTGTATGATACAGCGGTCATAAGTCTGGTCCTCCTGGGAAGTTGGAGCTTTCTCCTCTTGGCATCGTGAAGCTCTATGGTTCAAAATGTTTTGGAGGATGTCTTTGCTCTCACTTTGTGGTAGATTGTAGAAAAAATATTGTGGCACCAGCTGAACGAACCTAGTAGGGAAGAAGAAAGTGTCAAAACCGCACTCATTGTGTGGTACAGTCTTTGATCAACAGACTTATTCATATAGAAATTCAAGTTAAATGTGCAAACATTTTTGTCTTGGTTTTGTTGTAGAGAAGACCACAGTACATCAGCTCTCCACATTATTTGAACTGCAGTGAACAGATTCACATATTTCAGCATGTGGAAGCTAAGAGAGCATGACAAAGGCCACAGAGCTTTTTCCTTCTCCATTAAGATGCAGCTCCACGTTCTCAGGCATCTGTGCAATCCCTAATCCCCTCTCCAGCCAGCTGATACTAGACAGCAGGATTATGATTCTTCCCTCCAGAACCTGTATGACTAGTTTCTGCTGAACTGGGGCTTTACGTCTGGTCCAAAAGGGACAAACAATTTAAAATATACAAAGAACATGTAAACAAGGCTGAGACTCACTCCTCTGGTGTTATGTGGGTGACAGTGCGGAGGCAGTTTCCTCGGAGGAGTGCTTGTGGAACAGCACCCACTCCGGTAGGCCTAGCTTGGGGCTCTTGGCACCATAACCGGACAGAGGATGGATCTGTGCCACATGCTTACGTGTCAGGACGAAGTAGTTCCCTGATCCATCTACATCATGTGTCACCTGAGGAAAATCACAGTTGGGCACGGTCAGATGG